AAAAAAAAAAAAAAAACCTATTTTTCTTTTCTTTTCTTTTCCTTTCTTTCTCCCTTCCTCCCGTGGGTTTTCTGACACAGCATCTTGTCATGCAGTCCTAGCCAGCCTTGAACTATTTCAGCCTTTGCCACTGAACTTGGAATCCAGGTGCACACTCCTCTCAAACGAAGCGACCTGCAGGGTCTCACTACACAGTTCAGACTGACCCTGAACTTACTATGTAGCCCAGGCTGCCTCGAACTCCCGGGTATCCTCCTGCCACTGCCTCCGCCTCCAGGAGGCTGGGATGGTGGGATCACAGGCCAGCCTTGATTTTCTTTTGTGGTGCTAAGGTTCAAACCCAGGACCTCATGCATATTGTTGAGCAATGTACGACTATGCCACATCCTCAGGCCTGACCAACTTTACAATAAATGAGTGACAGAGTTCGATCTGGCTCCAGCGCCCTAGGAACTACAACGCAACACGCGACACGAGGGTGATTTGCTCAGAGCCCATCAGCAGCCTGCCCGCCGGGCACCCTCTGCCGATTCTCTAGAGCCCATCTCCCCATTCTGCCGGCATCCGCCGCCTCTGTCCCTAACACCTGCCCGGAGGAAAGCGCCAGAGAGCGCGCAAGGAACCACAGATGTCAGTGGTGCCTTCACACTCCCAGAGAAAAAGCTTTTACGTCAATGCTTGGAAACAAAAGGCTAGAAAGGGCCGGTTCAAGGAGGAGACACAGGATCCGGGGTGGGGAATCCCACACGGGGCCCTCACACCCGCCAGGCTGCAGCGCTCGGGCTTCCCTGGAGCTGGGGCAGGTGCTGCTGCACGGAAAAGGGGCCGGGAGGAGGAGAGCAGGACACCCGGGCCGCAGCCCCAACCCGACCTCCGAGACAGCCGGACCTCACTTGCAACCCGCTGAACTCGGAGTCTCGGCCATCTTAGGGACCCTCAGGGAACGCTCTTTTGCAAAACAGAGCTTGCGTGAGGATTTGTGTCCCCTCGACAAGACTTCGCAGTAGAAAGCAAAAATACATTTGCACAGACCTGACTTGGGGCGCAGCCATGTACAGGAGGAAGAGGAAGCAAAGGAGGAGGATCAGTAGCCCAAGCATCTCTGCGAGCCGCAGCGAAGGTTAGTCACACGCTGCTGCCTCCGCGGCTTCCCTCCGCTCCACAGCGCCCCGCCCGGCTTCCACGGCAACGCCCTGGCGCAAAGCCCTCTGGGAAACGTAGTCCGGGGCTTGGCGGCGAGGGGCGGGGCTAGAGGAAGTCCCTGCCCGGAGGCGTGGACCACGCTAGAGGTGGCAGCGAATCTCTACCCATCTAGGGCGGGGAATCTGTGGGACCATGCAGAGAGTCCTTCCCTCCACAGCCCTCTGGCCACCAGCGGTGCTCGAAAAATCTCCCCAGTTCTCCACTAACACCCCAGGATCAAGTCCCTCCTCTGGTTCAGCTTCTGCAACCCCTAGCTCACAGGATACCACATCGTTCCAGGTGGAGGCGGAGTGTGGCATCCGCAAAGATTCTGAGGCTGTTTACCCAGGAGAGGAACCTTGGGACTCTTGACGGTGGGGTAGGGTGAGAGAGCACCCCTCCTCCTAACGGAACAGAGGCACCGACTGGTCCTTGAAGGCATTCTCTGGAGAATCGCTTTCTTGTGCCTAGTTTGAGTTATGCCAGTAGGTGTCAAAATTTTCCTAGGGTTTGCTTCTGTGTTTGTTGACAATAAAATATAGTTTTCTTGATGACTTGTGTCACCTGTATTAATTCTCAGTGTGTTAATCAATTTCCCAGATTGGCACAGTTGGATTTTGCTACTTTCTAAGTATTTAATTCCCTCTTGAAATAAGGCCACAGATATGTTCTTTGGAAACAGGCAAGCTTCCTGCTCAATCATCCCTTTCATCTGAGGTCTACTCCCCACCTGAACACAGTAATATTTTCTGGTTCTTTTGCATAACACATTTCCACTTGATTGAAAAAACCCATGGTACAAGGTTGAGTTGAACGAATATATTTCATAGCAACTGGAGGTTCCCTGGACACAGTACAAATCCCCATTGACTTCACATTGAATTATCTAGTAACAATTAGGCACTTGTAACATTCTCTATGGATTCTTGGTATTATTTCCTGTGTAACAAGGGTGTATTCAGGAAGTCTTTGTCTATGCCTATATCTTTAAGAGTTTTACCTATTTTATCTGCCAGCAGATTGTTTCTGTTTTAATATTTAGGTCTTTGATCTAATTTGATTTTAGTTTAGTGCATGGTGAGAGATAAGGATCTAGGTTCGATCTTTGGCATGTGGAAAGCTAGTTTTCCTAGCACCAATTGTTAAAGAAAAAATATTTGGCCCCTCTGTCAAAGATAAGGTAGGTAAGTGGGCCTGGAGTTGTTCCTGCATCCTCTATTCTGTTTCATGATCCACAAGTCATTTTGTTTCACTTGTTTTTGCCAATACCATGCTGTTTTTATCACTGTAGCCTTGTAGTATAACCTGAAGTCTGAGATTTTAATGTCCCTATCGTGCCCTTCTCCAAGTAGTTACTAAAAAAAATAATAATAAAATAAATAAATAAAAATCCAAGTAGTTACTAATGATCTTCTGGATTTCAGCAGAATCTGTTGTGATTTGTACCTTTTTTATTTCTAGTTGCATGGATTTGTGTCTTTTCTTATTTCGGTAAGATTGGCTAAGGATTTGTCTATTTTATTTATTATTCAAGGAACCAACATTTTGATACATTGACTTTGTGTTTTTTAGTTTTAATATCATTAATTTCTATTCTGAGTTAAATTTGTACTAAATTAGGATTTTGATTGCTCTTGTTTTTCTAGGACCTTGAAGTGCATCATTAGTTTATTTATTTGAGTTTGCTCTGGACTTTTTCTTTGTTTGTTTGTTTGTTTGTTTATTGGTCTTTTTGAAGGAGGTTCTCACTATACAGTTCAGGCTGACTTTGAGCTCACTTTGTAGCCCAGGCTGGTCTTGAGTTTGCAATGATCCTCCTGCCTCAGCTTCTCAAGTGCTGGGATTACAGGGGTGTACCACCATGCCCAGTGAGTTATTTTGTTTTAGACTGGTCTTACTGTGTAGTTCAGGCTGGACTTGAACTTACTTTGTAGCCCAGACTGGCCTCAAACCCAAGGTGATCCTCTTACCTTAGCCTCCTGAGTGCTGGGATTATAGGTATAAGCTCCCACACCCAGATCTTCAGAACTGGGGAATGAACTCAGGCCCTTGCGCTTACCGGGCAAGTGCTTATTCTACTGAGCCAGCTCCCTGGCCCTTTTTCTTTTCTTTTCTTTTTTAATGGATGTTCACCACTGTAAACTTGCTTCTTAGGACTACTTTCATTGTGTCCCATAGGTTCCAGTATGACATACTGATATTGTTTGATTATAAGAACTTTTTATTTTTTTACAATTTCATCTGTGAGGGCTGGGGAGATAGCTCAGTGGAATAAGCACTTGCCTGGCAAGTGCAAGGGCCTGAGTTCAATCCCCGGTTCCAAAAAAAGAAAAAATAAAACAATTTCATTTGTGACCTACTGATTATTAAAGTTGTTTAATTTTCATGTGTTTGCCTGTTTTCTGTGGTTTCTTTTGCCATTGATTTCTAGTTTCATTGCACTATGATCAGATAATATACACGGGATAATTTAGATTCTTCTGCATTTACTTAAGCATACTGTATGGGCTAGTATATTGCCTGTTTTGGAGAAAGTCCCATGTGTTGCTGAAAAGAATGTGTATTCTGTTGTGGTTGGGTGGAATACTCTCTAGATATCTATTGAGTCCTTTTGTTTGAAGGTTTGGATCAATTTTGATATATCTTTGTTGGTTTTTTTTGGTCTGGTTAATCTATCCATTTGTGACAGCAGGGTACTGAGGTCCCCTATTACAGTTGTATTTGCATTTATCTGATTTTTCATATCTGTGAATGTTTGTTTTATGAAGCTGGGTGTGTCAGTACCCAGTGCATATATGTTTATAAGTGTTATCTATTCCTGTTGAATTGTTCCTGTAGCCAATATGTAGTGACTTTCTTTATCATTTCTCGTCATTTTGTGTTGAAATCCACTTTGTTGGAAATTAAGATAGCACCTGTTTTTTTCGGGACTCCTGTTGCATGGAATATTGTTTTTCATCTTTTGATTTTTAATCTGTGAATTTCCTTTCAAATTAAATGTATTCCTCATATACTGCATTTCACTGGATTTTGTCTCCTTATCCATCCAGCTAACTAGTATTTTTTGATTGTGAAATTGAGACCATTCCTATTAAGAGGTATTACTGAGAGGTACTGACTTACTCTCGTCATTACATTATTTCCCTGTTGCTGATTGTCTCAGTTACTTTTCTCTTATTGCTGGGACCAAATACTCAATGCCCAAAATTAAGGAAGAAAGGAAGGAAGGAAGGAAGGAAGGAAGGAAGGAAGGAAGGAAGGAAAGGGTTATTTAGCTTACAGTTTGGGAAGATTTCAGTACATACTTGGCTGGCTCCAAGACTGACATATGGCAGAGGGTAACAGTTCATGATGGTGGAAAACAGCAAAACAGCAAGAGCAAATGGGAGGAGTAGAGGCAACAAGGGCAGAGGCAAGCCTTTCTTTTTTCCTTATATTGCCTTCAAGCTATCTGCCCTAGGGTGGGCAAATATCTACCCCACCCATAATCCCAGCAGTACTCAGACCCATAATCCCAGAAGTACTCAGACCCATAGTCTCAGCCTTGGATCATGAATTAATCACAAACTCTAGAACTGCATCCAATGACTGCATGAGGCTTTGGGGTGGGGATGGGGGGCAACCACACACAACCATAACACTGATTTTCTTATTTTTGTTCTCCTTTTGCTTAGTTGCTTATCCTGATAGGCATATTCATTTTTTTCTTTTTTTTTTTTTCCCAGAACTGGGGATTGAACTCAGACCTTTGTGCTTGCCAGGAAAGGTGCTTATTCCACTGAGCCATCTCCCCGGCCCCACATTTTTTTTTTTTAATTGGGGCATTCTTGGGTGTGTCATCTCTTTCCAGGATATCCTTGAGAATTTTTTGTCATGCTGTTTTGGTGATCATGAATTTCCTGAAGTGTCCCTTGTCATGAAAATATTTTATTTTTCTATCAATTCTGAAGAAAAGTTTTGCAGGACCTGTAATTTGGGCCAGAATTTGTTATCATTTAGGGTTGGAATTACTTCACTGCTAGTCTTCCTAACCTTTAAATTTTGTGTTGAGAAGTTTGCTGTAATTTTGAGGGGTTTTGCTTTCTCTAATAGCTTTTAATATTTTGTCCCTATGATGTGTGAAGAATTAATGTAAAAGTAATGTGATGAGTTAATTTTTTTTAAAAATTTATTTATTTATTTGTGTGTGTGTGGCCAGCTCAGCCCACCAGGGGCAGGGCTGGCTGGCATGTGGTGCTGGGGGATTGAACCGCGGTCCCTCTGCTTTGCTAAGCTTGTTCTAAGTAGGTGCTTTAGACCACTGAGCCATCTGAGTTAATGTAAAACTAAATGTAAAAAATTACTCTGCTCAACTTTCTGTGACCCTGCTTCCTTATAAGACCGCAAGGAGGCTTGGTGTACCATTGATAAATCATCAACAGACTGAGAGTTCCCAGAAAACAATGCTCCTGGAAAAAAATGTATGCTGAGTAATGGTCATTTTGTCCCTAAAGGTACTGTTTTATGTTAAATGATAAATTTGTTTGTCAAACAGGATGCAGTTTCTACCTTTAAAACCTCTATACTTCTAAGGGTCCTGGCTGTTTGTCCTCTCCTATGTGAGCATGGTCAAGTGGTCCTGGGCCCAGTAATAAAAGGCTCATACTTAAATTTTAATTTGAACTCAGGTCAGAGAACCCATAACATTTGGGGGCTTGTCTGGTATCCCATTAACTGGAATCAAATAGAACCCAGTTTTGTTTTGTTTTGTTTTTTCCAGAAAACTGTAATCTGGGGAACTTCTTCAGCCCAGGACTTACACAGGTCTCCAAAAGTTTTCAAATTCTTTGTTGATTTGGACAACACAAGCCATTTGGAACCTCTTGCCGGTAAGAGTCCTTTTTTTCTGTTGGGGTGCCCCTTTGTGAGTTACAGAAGGAATTGGACACAACATAAATCCCGTGGACTCTGCTCCCCTCCACGATGGTGGACTGGAGCATTGGATTGGTTTCGT